GCTGTGTTGGTTCAAGGACACATCTAAAACCTGCAGGGACACCAGCCCTCGAGGCCTGGAGTTGCCCACCCCTGGTCTAATATGTCTTTAACTTACCCCAGCCCAGCAGGTAATACTAAAGGAAATGTTGTTTTTCTGCAAAGAACTACCAGAGTGTGCAGGTAGATGCCCTCACAAAGCATCCAGAAGTAGTTAACTTAACTTCACTAAGGTTGTGAGCACAATAACGGGCACAGTCAAGGTAAGGATGAAGTAGAGAAAGACATTTATGTGGAGAGTTATCCCTTGGCAGCTCAGGCTCCTGATGGTTATTAGAAGAGAAGACACATTAGATTTTTACTTTTGAATCACAGACTTGTCCTTAAAGTCCCACGAACTGAAACACCAATCCTATCTCCCCAGTCAAAACAGGTCAAGGCACAAAAATTTATATTTAATATATATGCTGATGACATCACATGCTAGCCTGCTGTTCCGACGAGACACTCCAGGAGAGCAACGATGAACATTACAACACAGCTGGACAATAATCATATAGATGAATGATTTAAGGATGTGAGTGTTATGACTGATTGCATAAAGAGTTTTAAAGTCTTAAAAAATGACTGCAAATGTATAACACTCATCAGCAACTGTGTGATGAATGGAAGCAGGAAGAAAAAAGTGACACAATATATAATAAATCACTGTGCATTTGTTTTTTTTTTATTTGTTTTTTATTTAACTAATCAGGCTGCAGAAACTGAACCAACGAGCATGAAGAGTTCAAGTTTTTAACAAAGGTGACCTCTGCTGGATATAAATAATAACTAGATAAAGTTGGCACTTCATGGGTCCTGGATTTAAGTCTATGGGATGGAAATTTATTTTTAAACATAACTAATATGTAGGACTGCTTTCTTCCATTTGCGCAACATCTCTAAAATTAGAAATATCCTGTCTCAGAGTGATGCTGAAAAACTAGTGCATGCATTTATTACTTCCAGGCTTGACTACTGTAATTCATTATTATCAGGGTGTCCTAAAAACTCCCTGAAAAGCCTTCAATTAATCCAAAATGCTGCAGCAAGAGTACTGACAGGGACCAGAAAGAGAGAGCTGATTTCTTCTGTATTGGCTTCCCTTCATTGGCTTCCTGTTAAATCCAGAATTGAATTCAAAATCCTTAAATAATCAGGCCCCATCTTGTGTTAATGACCTTGTAGTACCATATCACCCTATTAGAGCACTTCACTCTCACACTGCAGGCCTACTTGTTGTTCCTAGAGTATTTAAAAGTAGAATGGGAGGCCGAGCCTTCAGTTTTCAGGCCCCTCTTCTGTGGAACCAGCTTCCAGTTTGGATTCGGGAGACAGACACTATCTCTACTTTTAAGATTAGGCTTAAAACTTTCCTTATTGCTAAAGCACATAGATAGGGCTGGACCAGGTGACCCTGAATCCTCCCTTAGTTATGCTGCAATAGGTAAAGGCTGCTGGAGGATCCCCATGATGCACTGAGCTTTTCTTCTTCAGTCACCTTTCTCACTCACTATGTATTAACAGACCTCTCTGCACCGAATCATACTTGTTATTAATCTCTGTCTCTCTTCCACAGCATTTCTTTTATCCTGTCTTCCTTCTCTCACCCCAACCGGTCGCAGCAGATGGCCCCATCCCTCCCTGAGCCTGGTTCTGCCGGAGGTTTCTTCCTGTTAAAAGGGAGTTTTTCCTTCCCACTGTCGCCAAGGTGCTTGCTCATAGGGGGTCATATTGTGTCGAGCTGAGGAACCTTAACAACAAAGCACCTACACAGACATTAAGCTTGCTGTTCTACCCCAAAAGGATAGGGAGAGCTCTTTATTGTACACTTCCCTCTACTACACTGTGTTTCAGAGGGTCAATAACTACAAGCCTGAACTCACTCATGGCACTACATTCTTTACATTAACAATAACTGTCTGGGAATTTATACTGCAGCATCAACAAGAACAGTTAAGAGTCACGTAACCATAAACAATAGTTTAATAGTTTAATTATTTATATAGCACATTTAATTACAACAGGAGCGTTGACCAAAGTGCTGTACAAGAATACAACATACATAATAAAACAACTTAGAGTATTAAAAGCAAACACCAAATATGAATTAACAAATAACAAATAACTCTCATGCTGTATTAAAAGCCAGTAAATAAAAATGCGTTTTAAGATAAGATTTAAAAAGATTGACAGTAGGAGCCTGTCTGATGTGTAGGGGTAAATTATTCCACAGCTTAGGCGCTACGACTGCAAATGCTCGATCACCTCTATGAACCAGCCTCGACCTTGGTACAGCTAAAAGCAAAAGATCACTTGATCTAAGAGATCTAAGGGGGGTATAAGTCTGCAAGAGGTCAGACAAATACCCGGGAGCCTGTCCATTCAGGGCTTTGTAAGTCAACAATAAAATTTTAAAATTAATTCTGAAGCGGACAGGGAGCCAATGAAGGGAGGCAAGTACCGGGGAAATGTGTTCACATCTTTTAGTACGTGTATAACCCCCAAATTTTTGGCATGTGATTTGACAAAAGGCTCAAAACTGTGCAGGTTAAAATTAGAAGTGTTGGGATTACCGCTTGGTCCAAAAATTATCACTTCGGTTTTGTTCTCATTAAAGTTAAGGAAATTAGAGGCCATCCAGGATTTAACTTCACCGAGACACTGAAGTAAGGGTTCTAGTGAGGCAGGACTGTTTCCCTTCAATTGAAGATAGATCTGAGTATCATCGGCATATGAATGAAAACAAATGTTGTATTTTCTAAAAATTTGACCTAAAGGCAGCATATAAATGGAGAACAATATTGGCTCCAGTATAGATCCCTGGGGAACACCACAAGTAAGGGGAGCTGAGGAAGAGATAAAATCGCCAAAGCTCACAGAGAAGGTCCTGTCAGACAGGTATGACCTGAACCACTCTAATGGGGTGCCCTTTACGCCACAATGCTCCAACCGTGAGATTAAAATGCTGTGGTCAACAGTATCGAAGGCAGCGGTCAGATCTAAAAGCTGAAGCACAGCTGAGTCACCTGAGTCAGTGGCTAATAAAAGATCATTAAGAACTTTTAAAAGTGCAGTTTCTGTGCTATGAAGAGTTTTAAAACCAGACTGAAACCTCTCAAGAACATTGTGTCCATTTAGAAAAGATTGCAGCTGAACAAACACAATCTTTTCCAAAATTTTCGACAGGAAGGGGAGCTTTGAAATAGGCCTGAAGTTAGTGAGGACGGAGGAGTCAAGATTAGGTTTTTTAAGTACAGGCTGTACAACAGCATGTTTAAAACAGGCTGGCACAACACCTGAGCTAAGGCTGCTATTAAAAATAGCTAAAATGTCAGAACTGACAACCTTAAAAATCTTTTTTAGAAGATGTGTTGGAATAATGTCATTTGGACACGATGATGTCTTTGTGCCACTACATACTTCCTCCACCTGATCAAGACACACAGGCTCAAACTGATCAAAAACAGCAGAGCAGGTGAATATTTTAGACACGTCATGTGAGGGTAGGGCGATCATAGATCGAAGCTGTTTTATCTTATTGATAAAAAACTTCAAAAACCTTTCACAGGTGTCTGAGGAACTATTAATACAAGAAGCTGGGGAAATATTCAGGGCAGAGTCAATAATTGAAAAAAGAACCCGAATAAACATCTTAAACAGCAACACATATTCCCAAGGCATGATGGGAGATAACTAGCCGCTTCCAACACACCACAATATGATTGTTGTATGTATCTGTATGTATTATTTTAGGCTCTACCTTACAATATAAAGCACCTTGAGGTAATTGTTGTTGTGATTTGGCGCTGTATAAATAATATCAAACTGAATTGAATTGAATATGAATTCTAACTGTTGTCAAATAGGGCTGTCAGCTGTGTACCAACCTGATTGCTGCACAACACAACTGATGGTCCCAACCCCATTAAGACAGCAAGAAATTCCACAAATGAACACTGTACAAGGTACACCTGTGAAGTGAAAGCCATTTCAGGTGACTACATCATGAAGCTCACTGAGAGAAGGCCAAGGGTTTGCAGTGCTATCAACAAAGCAAAAGGTGGCTACTTTCAGGAATCTAAAATATAAGACAAATTCAGAGTTTTTTATATATATATATTTTCTTTGCTGCATAATTCCATATATTTGCTTCATATATTTGATGTCTTCAGTATGTATCTTCAAAGTAGAAAGTAGTAAAAATAAAGAAAACACATTACATGAGAAGGTGTGTCCAAAGTTTTGATGGGTAGAGTATATATTTTAAATATATAACTTTCTACAGACTGAGTATCTGAGGATGATGTGAGTAACATCAGCAGCAGCAGCAGCAACAATACAATACAACATGTGTAATAGTGATAGCCAAATGTAGCTTTCTGAAGCATTAAAGCTTGTATTGAGAAAAGGTTCATTACTCGAAGCTCTTCAACACAGTCATCTTTGGTGACATCTGGTGGGCAAAAATAAGAAGAGCAGCATGAATCTACAACTTAAAATGAACTGCTTTATTACGATGCCCACTCTACAGAGCTGAATTAACAGCTTCTGTTTGATATTGGGCTGATATGGTGCTTTGAACATGTATTTTTTGGGGTGAAAAAATGACGTTATGTCTATGTTTATAATAAATCATTTTGATTAATTAACCTTCCTTGTTAAAACGTGTTCCATGTGAATGAAGGTTCTGTTGAATCGTGTCCAATGAAGTTTCGGACGTCATTGGTCACGTGACTCTGTTCCGACGAACCAAGCCTCGTTTCGTAAGTGTGTTGAATGCGCCGGAGCTTCAGCTTCAAACGTGCTGTTACTAGTAACAGGGTCAGTTGCAAAAGTCTCTTCTCACAGTTCTAACTGTTTTCTACAGTAATTGGTAAATACTTCTTTACACTAAAACGAACCATCAAATCTTGTAGTGACTATGGTAACGCTTACCCGATGCGTCTGCCACAAATCTCACGAGAACTGGAAGAAAGTTGCGCACGCAGCCGTCGCCATCTTTAAAATTAGAAGGAGGCGTTTGCAGGCATTGCTGGTGTGCAGCCAGTTAATTAAACTTGGGCAAATTTCTACAAAAGTATTCCAAGCATGGCTAATCGAAATATGCAACAAGTTAACATGCAAAGCAACAATTCTCCTCAACCGGCGAGACGCGGAACCGACTCACCGGCGGCGGAGCAGACATCGGCGAACAAAGACAGCCCGGCCCCGCCGCCGAGGCAGTCCCCCGTTACTGAACAAATGGAAGGAGCTGTGGAAGGAAGCGGCGAAGGCCCGACAGAAATGACCCTAGACATTACTAGTTTCCGAAAGCCCGGTGAAAAGACGTTCACTCAGCGCTCCCGTCTTTTTGTCGGCAGTCTCCCGCCGGATATTCCAGAGGAGGAGTTCAAAAACCTGTTTTCTAAATATGGGAACGTCAACGAGGTGTTCATCAACAGAGAGCGGGGCTTCGGCTTCATTCGTTTGGTATGGAAAATAGTTCTACTTGTTGGTTTTAACGTGAAGCCTCAAATATAATAAACACACACACATATAGCAAGCTTTTATGTAGCATTACTAATTAATATATATTGGAAGGTAGCGTCTTATATTTGAGAGTAAATTATTTATTTTTTTGCAATTCTACATCCTATACGTTATGTCAGGCACACTTTAACAATGTTGCGTGAAAGCAATGTTGAGGGAATGCGTCTTTATCCCTTCAGGAAACCCGAACTGTAGCAGAGATCGCTAAAGTCGAGCTGGATGGGACTATTTTGAATAATCGACCAATCAGAGTCCGCTTTGCCACACACGGTTCTGCGCTCACAGTGCGCAATCTGCTGCCTGTGGTGACAAATGAACTGCTGGAACAGGTAGAGTAGACAAGAGAAGAAAACTACTTAGTAAAATCTACATGTATTGCTACAATGATTTATGCATTTATGGTTACCTAACTTCGCTGTATCCTCAGGCGTTTTCCCAGTTTGGACCAGTGGAACGGGCTATTGCTGTGACAGATGATCGAGGTCGTCCCACTGGGAGAGGCATTGTGGAGTTTGCAAGCAAAGTAGCAGCGCGTAAAGCTCTGGAGCGCTGCACCGAGGGAGCACTGTTGCTGACCACGTAAGGAGCAGAGGGATGAGGCTATTTAATGAGCTGAAAACATTTGAATATGTTCATTCTGGTGTTGAGTTTGTAATTACATTCGGTTCTTTAAAGTAACTTGTTTTTATTTTAAAAATGCAGCAACACCACATTAGGTCCTTGCCATTATAGAAGTGAAAAAGATGGTTTTAGGATTAATTTTGTCACCCTTCATCGGTATCCCCAGTACTTCCTGTGGCGATGTTTCATAGGATTAATACAGTAAGTCTGAGTGTACAGATACATGAGTCTGCACAAATTGGACATGCTTTCAGAACTTATTTCCATAATCACTTTGTCACAAATATGTGAGCAATATAATCAAATCATTCTCCGGTGAGAGTTGTCACACAAATGAAATCCTAACTAAATCTCCTGGGACTTCAGCTGGTGACAGTAGTAGTAGCTTAGCATCACATGAAGCAGTTTTCCACCTACTGAACATTCTAACAGACCCTACAGCATGGAGGAGATGTCAAGAAGCTGCAGTCCAAGATAATGGAGC